CAGCCGCTGCTGAAACTGATCAGTTTCAACAGCGGCTGAATCTGGACGCCAGTTCTGACTTACATACAGATTCAACTTAAAAACCCCAGGCATCCCCAAGTCAGCTGCTGCTGAAACTGATCAGCGTCTGATTCCAGGAAGCCCGGGGCAAAGCAGCACTGCCTCGGGCTTCCTGTAGTCACCCGCTGGTCAGTTTCAGCAGCGGCTGAATCTGGATGCCAGTTCCAACTTACGTACAAATTCAACTTAAGAACAAACCTACAGTCCCTATCTTGTACATAACCCGGGGACTGCCTGTATTATCCCCATTTCACAGTTTGGGATCTTCCTGTCATGTCCTGCCTCACTGACTACACACCATTCAACTTTTGCTACAAATGAGGGGGGGGGTCCTACAGATTCATTACACAACCTTATTTAACTGTCAGAACTTAGACCATCCTGTCCACTGAACAAGGCAGGGGAAGTAAAATATTGCATCCAAATGCAGAGACAACAGGGCCTATTTAGGGATGTTCAGGCAACATTAATTCTGGCATTTCCCACTTGACGTTGCAACTTTAACATTCTTGTAATGTAGTTTTTTTAACTGATTTCCTAATTTAAAAAAGGACATCTCTCCCCCAGAATTTCTATCACATGGAACCATTCTAACCTCAAGTCATCTGCAGGATTTGCACCCTTAGATACACAGCACAGACCTCTACTACTTGAACTAAAGGTGCACCTTTAGCTGTTGCAGGCTTGTCTCCTGTATATGGATCAGCTGCTATAGGGGGAAAGTGACACACACTCTGCTAACATGTTTCACAGCTATCTGCCATCAGCAGAGGAATATAGATACTTTGGGATCCGGGTTTTAATTCTTAGTTTTATGAAGGAATGCTAACAGACCCTTTTGTTTCTGTGCACCTAGCCTGTCTGCTACCCTCTCTCTAGAATTAAGATTGCTTGACACTTCCATTTATAACACCCTCTTTTCCATTACTTGTAAACTTTGCCAAACTTTAACCATTTAGGCTGAAAGCTCCCATGCTGGGTAGTTGCCTCAGGCTGATTTTTGGGTTTTTTTTATTTTATTTACTTTTTTGGTCTTTTTCAGTTTCATTTTAAATGTTGCAGCTGTTATTTTGTCACATGATTTTTTTTAACAACTACTTAGTTGAGATGCTGTAGCATCTGCAAGCTTTACAGCAGGGCCTAGAAATTTCATAGGGGATTCACTTCAATTAAGAAGAGTTGCCTTTTGCGATTCCTATGAAAATCTGCCCAAATTTTGCCACATTATAAGCCTCTGAAAAATTCAGTTTGTGCATGCTTACAGATTTTTAGAGTTAGGCAACTAAGTTCACCAAATATTCGGTCCATATTGAATATGCTCCACTTCCCCATTACAGTCTTATCTCTGAACAAGAAGCATTGAGCAACCTTAACTATAGGCAGTGCCAACTGTCTGTCTAAAATAATAATAAAACTGTATTACAGATTTGTCCAGTTCAGGCTTGATCCAAAGCCCAGTGAAATTAATGGAAAGTCTTGTATTTGGATTAGGCTCTTTAGTTATCATAATTAATTACAACAATTTTGGGAGAGATAGTAAAACTTGTTCCTCTAGACTTAAACCAATTTTGAGGCCTGGTCTACATTAAAGGGGAAAGTTGATTTAAAATACACAACTCTAGCTATATTAGTTACATAGCTGGAGTCAAAGTATCTTGAATCGCATTTTGGCACCGTTCACACAGCAGGAGGTCAACAGGAGCATATGCTCTCGTTGACTTCCCTTACTCCTCATGAGGGTAGGACTACTGGCACTGATAGGAGCGCCCTCTAGTTCAAATTAGTGGGTCTTCACAAGACCTGCTCATTCGAACCCCGGAAGATCGACTGCAACAGCCTCAATCTTCTCTGTAATGTAGACAAGCCGAGAGACTTGTGAGGGGTGACAGATTATCCCGTTATTGCCTGAGAAGGTCTCACACCTTTCTCAGAAGCATCTGATGCTGGCCACTCTTGGAGATAGACTATTGGACTGGATGGACCTTGGATCTCATCCAGTCTGGCAACTTTCTGTATTCCTAACTGCTATATTTAGGAAAATTATGTTATCCTTACAAATATCATAATAAAAATAACACCATTCTTAAAACAAATATCATTTTAGAAATAGTGTGAAAATTCTGGAACTAATAGTGGTACCTTCAGTAGCTTTTTTTCTCTCATGCCAACACAGGTTAGAAGATGACCATTCACTGGAACCTAGAAAATTGATGTTTAAAAATGTTATATCATGGGAGGGAATACAATACTGTAACCACTACATTGCAATTCTTGTAATACGCCCCTAAGGGAGTCAGTCACATATGATCGGCTGAAAGAATACACAGAAATTAACAATAATCCCACACTCTGTCTAGATTAGAGAGTTTGTGGCTTTACTGCAACTCATATTAACTGATTGCCAACTGATGTGTGTTAGCTAAAAACCTTAATTAATAGTAGTCTATGAAATTCACAAACATGTTCCAGGATATAACATTTGAATCATAGATTCATAGAATAATAGGACTAGAAGGGACCTCGAGAGGTCATCGAGTCCAGCCCCCTGCCCTCAAGGCAGGACCAAGCTCCGTCTACACCATCCCTGACAGATGTCTATCTAACCTGTTCTTAAATATCTCCAGAGAGGGAGATTCCACCACCTCCCTTGGCAATTTATTCCAATATTTGACCACCCTGACAGTTAGGAACTTTTTCCTAATGTCCAATCTAAACCTCCCCTGCTGCACTTTAAGCCCATTACTCTTTGTCCTGTCCTCAGAAACCAAGAGGAACAAATTTTCTCCTTCCTCCTTGTGACACCCTTTTAGATATTTGAAAACCGCTATCATGTCCCCCCTTAACCTTCTTTTTTCCAAACTAAACAAGCCCAGTTCATGAAGCCTGGCTTCATAGGTCATGTTCTCTAAACCTTTAATCATTCTTGTCGCTCTTCTCTGTACCCTTTCCAATTTCTCCACATCTTTCTTGAAATGTGGCGCCCAGAACTGGACACAGTACTCCAGCTGAGGCCTAACTAGTACAGAGTAGAGCGGCAGAATGACTTCGCGAGTTTTGCTTACAACACACCTGTTGATACAACCTAGAATCATATTTGCTTTTTTTGCAACAGCATCACACTGTTGACTCATATTCAACTTGTGGTCCACTATGACCCCTAGATCCCTTTCCGCCATGCTCCTTCCTAGACAGTCGCTTCCCATCTTGTATGTATGGAACTGATTGCTCCTTCCTAAGTGGAGCACTTTGCATTTCTCTTTATTAAACCTCATCCTGTTTACCTCTGACCATTTCTCTAACTTGCTAAGGTCATTTTGAATTATGTCCCTATCCTCCAAAGAAGTTGCAACCCCACCCAGTTTGGTATCATCTGCAAACTTAATAAGCGTACTCTCTATCCCAATATCTACATCATTGATGAAGATATTGAACAGATATTGAGATGTACCCTAGAGCAGGGGTGGGCAAAAAGGGCCTTTGTGGGCCAGATCCAGCACACCACGCAGGTTGATCCAGCCCACGGACATCCTGCCACTCCCCCGCCCCCAGGCCAATCAAGGCCTGAGAACGGGGAAGCATGCGAAGTCGCCTCTCCCACTAGGGGTGCGCAGCACTTAAAGTCAACTGCCAGGTGCCCCTCGTAGGGTGGAAGGAGATTTCATGCGCTCCCCCCACTCCCAGGTCAATCCAGGCCTGGGAGTGGAGAGAAGCGTGCAACATCTCCCCCCACCCTACCCCACCCTGCTGGGGGAGGACGGCACATAGAGTCAGCTGCCAGCTGAAGAGAGGCGGCTGATTCGAAGCATGGCACCCCCTTGTAGGGTGAGGGCAGGGAACAAGAGACTTCCCATGCTCCCCCCCGCCCACAGGCCCTGATTGTCCTGGGGGCAGGGGAAGCGTGCAAAATCTCCCACCGCCAGGGGCGCAGGCACCTAGAGGGAACTGCCAGCTGCTCAGAACAGTTGGCAGTTCTCTCTGGGGAAGGTGGGAGCAAAAACTTCATGCGCACACACTACCCCCAGGCCAAACAGGGCCTGTAGGGGGTGAAGCACGGAAGTGTCCTAGCCCTGCCCCTTCTGCCTGAGGCGCTGCCCCTTCTGGGACAGCCCAGGGCCACTTCAAAAACTGATGAAGTGGCCCCCCCGGTCAAAAATTATTGCCCCCCCTGCCCTAGAGTATGTCTAGACCAGGATAAAAAGCATCAGACAACACATTTTAAAACAGAGTGAGTTGTATTTGAATGTGTGTTAGCTGGTAGAAGTGGACCCTACAGTCTGTCTAGACCAGGAGTGCACAATGCTTTTTGCAGTGGGGCCACTTCACGAACATTGGTTCATGGTCGCGGGCTGGCTCCACCTCTTCCCCCAGAAGGGGTGGGGCCTAGGGTAGAACGGGTGGTTCCCTCTAGGCGCCACACACCTCTGGCGGAGGGAGGAGACTTCACACGCTCCCCTAGGCCAGTTGGGACCTGGGGGCGGGAGAGTGCGTGAAGTCATTTGCTGTTCAAAATGACTGGTGGCTCCACTAGGTACTACGCACCTCTGGTAGGGAAGGGAGCCGCCAGCAGCTTTTAACATCGACTAACTTTGGGCACTTCCCCTGCCCCCACGGGCTACATCTTGCCCAGCCCTGGTCTAGATGTGCCCCCAGTGTAAACCAGAAGTGTTTCTGGAATGTCTAGATCAACATTTGTTGGGTAATTCAAACTCACTGGCAATCAATTAATTCAAGTTACAAGTGGGCTCCAGCCCCAGAGACCTGGTGAGGGAGGAGGGCCTGCTACACCACGGCCTGGCTCAGCCTCTCCAGCCCTGAGGAGAGCGGAGGGCACGCGGCATGGCCCCAGGCTCCCCAGCCCTGGAGCACTGGGAATGGGAGAAGGGCACTCGGTGCCACGGAGCCTGGCCCAAAGTCTCCAGCCCCAGAGCACCGGGGGAAGGAGGAGGGCATGCGGTGCAGCCCAGACTCTCCAACCCCGGAGCACTGGGGGAGGAAGAAGGGCGTGCTGTGAACCCAGTGTCTCCAGCCCCAGAGCACTGGAGGAGGGAGGAGGGTGTGCCGCATGGCCTGGCCCAGCCTCCCCAGGCCCAGAATAGCTAAGGAGGGAGGAGGGCTCACTGCAGCCCAGCCCCAGAGCACCTGGAGGTTCCACCCCCAGAAAACCTACAGCAGGCGTTTCTGGGGGCGGAGTGTGAGCGGGGCTGTGCCTGGCGGTTTGGGAAGGTAAAGCCTTCTCCTGCCTAACATATTGGACACCCATGGCTGCACTGGCTCCCTGAAATTCCCCACTAAAGAGGAACTTGCTTCCACATTTCACAATCAGTTCCCTTCCTCCTCCCACCCTACATAAACACATACACATACCCTTCGCACGATGCTTTTCTGTCTTGAGTCACAATTTAATCATATATAAATCGGAAAACTAAATGATGCTGTTCTAATTACAATTTTCAGAATCCAATTTAATTATCTTTATTCAGAGCCCCGTTTCCCTTAGTCTCAGAAAGGAAAGGAAGATATTGGTGTATCAGGACTCTGGTTTAACCAACAGAGTAAGAGGACTTCAGTAGGACTCTGATTGCATTGCACACACAATTCCAGAATAAGACTGGATTATTCAATACACCAAATCAATCGGGGTTTGCAGGGTTGGACATTAAGAAAAACTTCCTAACTGTCAGAGGGTATGTCTACACTACAACATTAATTCGCACTAACTTAGTTCAAATTAGTTAATTCGAACTAAGCTAATTCGAACTAACGGATCTAGACTAAAAAACTAGTTCGAATTAGCGTGCTGGCAGGGCATCAGAGGAGGACTTAGAGCGTGGAGATGCTGTCTCAGACTAGCCGAGGGCTGTGCTTAAAGGGTCCCGACCCCCACCCGGACAGACAGTTCTCAGGGGTGCCCCGCTTGCAAAGCAGTCCTGGCTTGGAGTGCCCGGAGTACCCACACTGGGCACATCACAGCACTCGGCCATCAGACCGGCTGCACTTGCCGCAGGCTGCCATCTGGGGAGAGGAGGCAATCGGGGGGGCTGCAGGAGAGCTTCCACCCCAAAAGCCCGCAGAGCCAGCCCAGTCCTCCCCATCGGGGGCGTGTACCCCATTCCTCCCTCACCTCCTTCCACTTACCCTTCCCTAGCCCCTTTTCTTGATGTACAAAATAAAGGACAATTGTGTTCAAAAATGGAATCTGTCTTTATTGAACAAAACTGGGGGAGACTGGGAAAAGGAGGTGGGAGAGGGGAAGAGAGAGGCTGGGAGAGGGGAGGGCAACTAAAATGATCAGGGGTTGGGAACAGGTCCCATATGAAGAGAGGCTAAAGAGACTGGGACTTCTCAGCTTAGAAAAGAGGAGACGGAGGGGGGACAGGATAGAGGTCTCTAAAAGCATGAGTGGTGTGGAGAGGATGCATACAGAAAAGTTCTTCATTAGTTCCCATAAAGAAGGACTAGAGGACACCAAAGGAAAGGAATGGGTAACAGGCTTCAAACTAGTAACAGAAAGTTGTTCTTCACAAAGCAAAGAGTCAACCTGTGGAACTCCTTGCTGCAGGAGGCTGTGAAGGCTAGAACTAGAACAGAGTTTAAAGGGAAGTGAGATCAAGTCATGGAGGCTGGGTCCATGGAGTG